CAGTTGCTCCCTTCTCTTGAATACTCTGTCCTCACTTGGTTTTCAGGACTCCAGCTCTCCTGATTTTTCTCCTACTTCACTGACCTCGCATTCTCGGCCTCCCTGGTTGGTCCCTCCTCCTCCAGTTTCAGAAGGCTGGTGTGCCCCAAAGCTCAAGCCCTGGGCCTCTTCTCTGTCGACATTCTCACCCAAGGTGATTCAGCCTCTCTCAAGCTTGAATCATATCTACCTGCAGATGACTCCCAAATTCATATAGCAAGCTCAGTCCTCATTCCCCAAACAACTCCTGCATCCAGCTGTTTCTCAGCATCCTGGCTTGGTTGTCTAGTAGACATCTCAGTTTCCGCGTGTGCAAGACTGACCTCTGACCCTGCCCTGAAGCCCCCCATTTAGGCAATGAGGCCAGCACTCCTCTCACCCAAGGCTGTTGTGAGGAGTCAATGAGATCCCAGATGCCGAGGACCTAGCACAGTTACTTGTACACAGTTGACAGACACTCACTAAATGCTAGCAATTCTCATACCATCACAGAGAGAGGGAAGACCAAAGGACACTTTTTTGGGAAAGCAGGTTGGGAAGTGGAGTGGGAACTGGTTCAGAAAACAGGCGCTGGGGGGGACAGCCCGGATGCAAGGCCCTGGGGGTGCACTGCTAAGGGTAGAAGCCACCAGGAAGAGCTGGCAAGGGACATGAGGGAGTAGGGGGGGGAAGGGTCAGCTGAAGGTCAGCTAAAGTCAGGCCTGGACCCAGTGGCAGAAAAGCCTCTTACTGTGTCAGCGACTTTCAACCTCTTCAGATCTCAAGGAGAGAGGAGACGATAAAGCACACAGATTAACTTCTGAAAGAGAGTCCGAGGGCTCTGAGGGTTAACAGCCATTCCGTGCCAGCTTCCCCTCCAGCCCTCAGGGGGCTCACTTGCAGTAATGACGTGACATTTAGCGCTCCTCTGTTCAGCTGGGGTCCAAAGGGCTGCAAGGCTGGGGACCTGTCTCCCCAGAGACACCTCAAACTTCTCCAGGGCAGGGGACATCCATGTGTCCCCACAGAGCCCTCTGCTCCAAGACATAGCAGACCCTCAGGTAGTACAGACTGTCAAAGAGGAGGCAGGGATTTTCCTGCCCAAGATGGGAGAACAGGGAATCCTTAAATATTTTTACATTTCCTTCAGGCCTTCATTCTAGTACTATCTTCCCAGTGAGGCCTTCTCTGGCCTCTCACCTAAAATACCACTTCCCCAGGCAACTCTCACCCCCGGCAAACATGCATGGTGCCTGTCTCCATATTTAATTTACATCCTATTGCTTGCCTACACCACTAGAAGGAAGCTCAAATAAGCCAGGGGTTCCTTTCCGTGTTGTTCACTGTTGTATCTCCAGCCGTCAGAATAGTACCCAGAACAGAGCAGGGGCTCAAAATATATTTCTGGAGTGAATGAATGATTAGCCACACTTACTTAAGCCCTTGTTCTATACTAGGGACTTTTCTAAACACTCTGTTTAATATCCTACTTAGTTCATTTAATCTTCATAACCACTCTGTGAGATAGTATAATTATTTATTTTTTCCAGAACACTAACACTGAGTCTCAGAAAAATTAAAACACTTGCCCAAGGCCACATCACTTTCACGTGGCAGGGCGGGACAGAGATCGTCTGGCTCCAAAGCCTTAGCTTCCTCCTGCACAGAAGAAGCTGTGTGCAGGGGAAGGCGGGGAGGGGGTGGAGGGAGAGCGACAGAAAACCTCTGAAGAAACCGGTGAGCGCTCCGGCCCTGCGCTGTCCAGTAGAGCCGGCTGTGAGGATGGAAATGCTCTGTGTCTGCAACATCCAGAGCAGCAGCCTCTAGCCATGGGTGGCTGTGGAGCCCTTGAAATGTGATTAGAGCAACCAAGGAATTAAATTTTTAATTTGATTTCATTTTAATTAATTTACATTGAAATAGTCACACGTGGCCAATGGCTACCATATTGGAGAGCACGGCTTTAGACTTAGATCACATTCAGTGGCTGGGAATGCTCTCGCTTGCCAGGTCTGTGGCACACAGGCCTGGTGGGACAGGAATGGGGGAGAGGAGGGAAGGGGTGTCTATGGACAGCAGTGGGCAGTGAGGTTACTTTGTGTGACCCTTGCAAACTCCCAGCGAGCGGAGTATTTATTCCCCCCCGTTTGCTGAGGGTCCCAGATGAGGTCATGTAGTCAGGGTCAGCGTGCCCCGGGATCTTGGTCCTCAACAGAGGAGCTTCCTCTCTCTGACCACATCCCGCAAGCCCGACAATTTGTCCCTGGGTAGTTGGGCCAGGTCAGAGTCTGGGTTTTCTCAGTCCTTCTCAGGATTTACACTTGACCATTTTCAAGCTCTTTTTAGGGTGGAGTCTGTGCGGCTGATGCCACGCAGACCTCACAGGCTTTACACAGACTTAACAAATGTTTGCTGCATTGAATAAACAAGGCGCAGAGCCAAAGCGAGGAGAGATCTCTGGCGACCGAGAGCCTTATCGGGGAGGGCGTTCATTCAGTTCCTCAATCACACCAATTAGGCAGAGGTTCTCCAACCTACAGTGTCTAGGAAACACAAGGGACCAGTTTGTCAAAAACGACATGTCCTCAGGCCCCACTGCTCCGTATTCCTATTTAATAAACCCGGGGTAGGAACCAAGAACCAGTATTTTTTATCAAGCTTTCCACCCCCCCCCCAAAAAAAAAATATGCCAAATCTGATGCTGGACTCAGAGCTATCCTTCTGAGAAAGGCTGATTTGGGGTGAGGCTAGGAATGCATGCAGGTGTTGGAGGCAGAAAGAGGTTGCCCTAGAGGGAAATTCATGAGTTGAGACAGGACGTACATAGGCGTACATACTTGTTTTGTGTATTTTCTTGCATTGCAGAAATTAAGAAGGAACTTGAGTCACCCAAGTTCAAGGCCTCCACGCCCAGCACCTAGAGTGCTGGAGCTGGAAGAAGCCTAAGTCCCAGCTAGTCCAGGCCTCTAGCCAGCGGGCACACCTGAGGAGTTCCGGCAGCTCCTGGACACATGGACAGCGACTGATGGAAGACATGCCTCCTGGCTCCAAGACCCCCACAGCCCACGAGCCCACGGATTTCCCCTCTCAGCCAGCTCCAGCCTCTGCTACCCACTCGGCTCCTCACTTCTCTAAAACGAAACATGTCACAGTCATTTGCTCCATGCTTCCTGTACGATTTCTTTATTTTTACTCTCCAGTTTATGAGCTGAGTCTGAGTGGGTGTGGGAGAGAAGCTGGGTATTTCTATTTCACTGCCTTTTCCTTCTGAGCTGGAAGGGCTTTCACTTCCTCCCCAAACTCTCAGTTCTGCCTTTCACAGGCTGTCCAGGCCATGGGACCACCTGGCCCATCCTTCCTGAGCACCAGAGAAACGGAGAACTGACTGCAAGCAGCTGCCTTCGAAGTGCCTTGCAGCCACTCTGGAGCAAAAAGAGGGGGCAGCTACAGCAGTAACGTCCCCAGGGCAGGAGCCCTGAGGCGTGGAGTGAGCAGCGACAGAGGCAGGCAAGGGAGCACCAACCAAGGCTTCAAACCTGCCTTCCATCCTTCTGACACTACCATGGGCAAGCCCGGGGCCTCCGCCTCCCCTCCCTCAGCCTCTTCTGCCCCCGCATTCAGCCAGATGAGGCCCCAAACAACCCCAGCTCCGCCTGCTGGTCTAGTTCTACCCTTGGGAGCCTTAGGGGTCTGCCTCACTGGAGCACAGAGCCATGGGTGGGGTGGGCCTCCACCAACGGGACCTGACAACTTCCTGTCCTAACCTCTCTGAACCTCAGTCTCCTCTTTCGAGCAAAGTTATATGTAGATACAGTGGAGGATGAGAAAATATGTGTAAAGCACCGGCAGCCTCAATCAACGGTGGCTGTTACTGGCAGGAGTTATAAATGTATATTGAAAGAGGAATCCCTTTCCTTTTCTCTTCCAATGGAAAAGGCCACAACCATCCAGAAATCCAAGGGAGCTATGGCCACTTTCTACAGCTAGCACAGCCTCTAGCTGTAGAAAGTTACCTCCCCACAGGGAGAGATCAAAATCGGGTGTTTGCCCAGGTTCGGAGTGCAGTGTGGTCTAGCAGTGAAAGCCAGAGCCCCTGGTCTCCCCAGCCATCTGTTCTAGAAGACTGCTGGCTGCCCCTTCATCTTCTGCTGTGTCCTCAAAGAAGCACTCAGACCCTAAAATAAACCCCAGCTCCTCCAGAGGAGAGAAGAGACATGCAGCCGGGCATGCAGCCAGAGCCCATAGGAAGGCTGGGCTGCCAGGCACAGATTACAGTCAGCAGGAGCAACAAGTGCCCCCTGCGCTCTTCCTCGCCCCTCCTTTTCTCCTCTGCAAGGGGAGCCCAGCGCGGGCCAGCCCCAGGAAGTCCTAATCCCTTGCCAGGCTCCCCAATAAACTCCCAGGACTGGGGCACTCCGCTTGTCACAGGCCGTGCAGCGGGAGATCTGTGACTCAGCGCCCATGATGTCAAGTCCCTTCACAGTCAGGGCACTGTCATACACGCACGCTGTAGCAGGGGTGGGGGTAGAACCAGGCGAGGTGGCCCCCCAAAGCGGAGGGAGGAGAGAGGCGCTGGTACAAAGGCCGCCCAAGCTGGAACAGTGCCCTGCTAAGGCGCGCCCTCTCGGGCATCTCCCCTTGGAGCGAGCGGGAGTTACGTAAAGCCTCGTGGGGGCATTGGGAAGGAGACACGAGTCGGGTTTCCGAGAACACACCAAGTCCTATACACTGGCCGCAGGGAGCTCCTGGCCAAGGGTGCAGGACGCAGCAAGGAGCGCAAGAGCGACTGCCCGCGTCCCCACAGCTGGGTCGGCCCTGGGCGGGGACCTTGTGCCCGCGGGGACCCAAGCTAGCCACAGAAAAGAGGAGCGGTCACACCTCCTTTCCCCCCTCCAGACTCCCCACCATCTGCGGCGGCCACAGCGGTTTCCCCCCACACCCGCCGGCTGCCCCAGCCCTCCAGGTGCCCTCGAAGCCCTTACCAAGCGCTGGGCAGTCGCCAAGGGCCAGCGCCGCCCCCGGCGCGGCGAGCAGGGCGGCCAGCAGCGCGCAGTGGACGGCCAGCATGCTTCCTCCTCAGCTAGTGCCCCACGGTCCCAGAAAGGCGACGGGCGGGCGGGAACCGGGCGGCGGGGGCGGGACGGCGGGCGGGCTCAGGCCCTGAGGGAAGACCCCATCCACCAGGTCCGGCGCCCTGCACACACTCAGAGTCAGTCCCCTGGCTCCGCGCGGCGCTCGGCTTAGCTCCCCGTGGCCCCGCTCGGTGTCAGTGCGACTTCCCACTTGCACATGACTCAGAGCAGCACACGGTCCTGGCAACGCAGGAAAACATTTGAGGAACTCGCGCTGGAGCGTCTCTTGGCTGTCCCAGGGCGCGGTTACGAAAGCCAGGGCGGATGGCGCAATAGCCCCGCTCACCGGCAGGCCGCAGGGGGTGGCTTCCTGCAGCCGCGCCGCCGCACCTGAGCCGGAGGGCAGGGGCCCGCGAGCCCTGCCTGGGCGCCCCCTCCCGCTCCCCACTCGGTCTGTTGAGGTGGGAAGGGGATATTAGCCACCACTGGCTCGGTTTTGAGTTTTGGTTTCGTGAACAGGATTGCGCTGTGAAAGGCACACCTGAAAGCCCTGGAGGATGCCATCTGCTTCTTACCCTTACAGTAAGGCAGTGCGTGGCAGCCTCATTACCTGCGGAGCCCTAAAAACCACCAATGTCTGTGTCGGACCCCCAGAGGTTCTGATTTCATGGGTCTGGGGTGCGGCTTGGGCTTCGGGAAACTCACTACAGCACGTTCCATCTGCACAGCAGCTGCTCACAGCCTGCAGGATAGGGAAAGAACGGGTTTGGACTTTGGAGTCAGGTAGACCTGGGTTCCCATCCACACCTGCCACCTGCTGTGTCTGTGACTTCTGTTCAGAACCTGAGTCCCCCTGGGCGGGTTCAGTGGCCCATGCCTATAATCCTAACACTCTGGGAGGCCCAGGCAAGAGGGTCCCTTGATAACAGGAGTTCCACAGCCTGAGCAAGAGTGAGACCTCATCTCTACCAAACAGAAAAACTATTCAGGAATCGCGGCACCTGTAGTCCCAGCTACTGGGAGGCTGAGGCTGGAGGATGGCTTGAGCCCAGGAGTTTGAGGTTGCTGTGAGCTAGGCTGATGCCACGGCACTCTAGGCCAGGCAACACAGTGAGACTCTGTCTAAAAAAAAAACAGAATCTCTGTGTTCCAGTTTCCTCCTCTGTCAGGTAGAGGTAAGGTAAGAAAGCCTACACTGGACAGGGTTATTACAACAATTCTGTGAAGTGGCACCCAAGCACCTGACAGAGTCTGAGCCACAGGTGCTCAACAGATGTCAGAACCTGCGTGTCTGCCCTTCTGACTTGACAGACAGAAACTTGCACTTGGCTTTCAGGAGCAATCACAAGGACCTCTTGAAGGGGTCCACCAAGGTTCCCCATACAGCCTGAAAATGATAAGGGTGGCCTTACCACTGAATTTGGAAGAAAAGAAAAATGCTGAAATAAGGTTTAGGCTGAGAAGCTTCTGGACCAATAACTGCTCATTAGAATGTGTTTTTCCACTTTGGGCTTTCAGGCTGATCCTAACCCAGATGGAGGTTCCTGGGGCAGCTGGAATGGACATGGCCAGACAGAGCCCCTAGTGGATAGAACCAGGCATGAAGGGACAGAGCTTCCAAAATGCAGTCCTCAGAACCCATGCACCTGGATCTTTCTGTAAGAACCACCCATTAGGTGGTTCTACCAGGCAGACCCAAACACATGCATTGATCCACCCAGGTTGGAGGCTGGCTTGGGTGGGCTTGCTTCAGTCACACCCACAGACAGGGACAGAAAGGCATGTTGGTGGGCAGACCTTTGGGCCATCAGCCCTCTCTCTTGCTATTTAAAATGAGGTTGCAACAGGGCTGGAAGGTGGTTCCCACTGTGGTTGCCCTCTTCCTCTCTGTGGCACATGCAGCCCTGAAAATAACCAGAGAGGGACTGCAAGCTGCCAGCCTGAAACCAGAAGGCTTCAGAAAGCCCTCAGCTCAGACAGGAGAGCTTAAAAGAGGAATGTTGAAGTCAAGAACAGGGAATTCAGACCCCTCTTGGCCTCTGCACAAAAGCAGACCTCTCCCTCTCTAATCCACTGGTGGGGAGCATAATATGCTCTGGAGTTGTACAGGCTCCAGCTCGGCCACCCCAGCTCTGCCACTTGCTAGCTGTGTGACTCAGGCATATTACCTAAGCTCTCTGAGCCTCTATTTCCTGATTTGTAAGGTGAGAACAATAATACACAAATTATTAGTGTTGTGGTTCACATTAAAAGATCTGGTCCATCTTTATTTTCCCAGCCTCATTTTCTGCATCTCTGTGACTTACATATATCATAATTATATTTGTACAATATTACTTATGGCGTCTCACCTCCATGCCTTTGTTCAAGCTGTTCCCTCTGCCAAGAATTGCCTTCCTTAGCCTACTTACCCTTAAGACTTGGCTCAGATATCTTCCCCAGGAAGCTGAAGGGTCTCTTTCCTACTTCCCTGGAGTCCCGTGACCCACAGATCAGATTAGGTGACCAGTCTCTGTGCTCCCTCGACACCCCATGCTGACTTTGTTAACTACCTTATCTCCCCTGCCACACCATAAAACTCATCCCTGCATTTTCACTGCTGAGCAGGGCCTGGCCCATGCTGAGGGCCTTTGTCTGGGAAATGTGGCCTCCCCCCCTGGTGGATTCTGAGCAACCTCTTTGACCTCCTTCAACCCTGCCTGAACTCTGCACCAAGTGGAGGTTCAGAATTCTTGGGGCCAGCCTTCTAGGCTTTGCTACGAAAAACACTGATAAGGAAAGGAAGAAAACATACCTGCACAGTTCAGCCCAACCTGCCCTCACCCAGATAGCAGAAGGAACATCGAGGACTTTAATTGTCTAGACCAGGGCACCTCTCTCAGGTAACTGCTGCTTACAAAATGCTTTCACATACACAGTCCCCTTTGAACTTCCCAACCCTGAGGGCTGCCCCCAATTTTCAGATGAGTAGAGTGAGGCTCAGAGGGGTAAAGTGACTTGTTCAAGACTACATAGCAGGTGACTGGCAGCTCTAGGGTAAGGTCTGGCTCCTGGCCCAGGGAGGGAGGACTCAGTGGGACCAGGAACAAAGACACTGCAGGACATCTGTCTCCCCATCGCTGCTGGCACTCGGGCACTCGGGTTCCATAGTCCGTGAGGGGAGAACAGAGGAGCAGAACCTGGCATCTGAGACACCCTCTTCTCAGGCCTCCCAGACTCCCTCTCAGGGCGTTCCTGCAGTTCCCTCCACTCCCCTAGCGGGGGCAGCTCCGGGCTGACACTTTCCCCACTGGCAAGTCTTCTCTCACCCTCTCACCGTTAACCTGAAGAGATTAAGTTTCTTAAAGATTGTCAAAGACAAAGGTCTATGAGGGGCCCCATAGAATAACTAGGTAGGATAGTTTCGAATCCAAAAGGGACTTAGTCACCACCATCTGCTCCTCCTCCCTCACTTCACATATAAGGAAACTGAGGCCTCAAGAGGTGAAGTTTTTGCTAAAGATGGTACAGGCAGTTGGTGACAGAGCTGGTCAAGACCCCAGATGTCTTGACTCAAAGTGGTCTTTTTTTATTCCCACCCTGCCCCCACCCTCCAGGCCTGGGCTGATGTGTTGGGGCCATTCCCAACTGCGAGAGTTTATACCCTTTGTTCTCCATTCACCTTGTGAGTCTGTCTTTAGGATTGATGATGATTCTGAGAAGTGCAGTGGGGTGGGGTTGGGCTGACCGGCAGACCCCTCCCCTCGCCTCTGGCTCCTGGCTCGTCCATAATTACAGAAAGGTGCCCTTTCTTCTCTTCAAGCTTCCCCTCACCCTTTCTCATAAGCCAGGGAGGGCAGACAGAGGTATAATAGCCGGGGGCCCCTCTGATCAACAGAACTCAGTGTCCCTGGCCAGTGGCACCCCCCAGAGTCAGGCCTCAGCCAGGACCCAGCGCCCTCAGTCTGACTGGGGAGAGCCTTGCTTTCATGGTGGAGGAGAGCAGGGTCCCCCACTCTGGCAAAATGACAGTCAGGCTCACCCCATTCACCAGCCAAAGCAGAGTTCAATACATTTTCTGTTCCACTTTCCCATTGCATCACCAGCTGAGTTTACACCCAGACAAGCGACTTTTAGCACCATTCACAGAAAGGGGTTATAAAAGTTTCTCTCCTTGCAATATTTATAGAATCTTATGATTTTTTTAACTGCTAAAAAAAAATCACAATTAAAATTAAGCATAGAATTGCATGTAATAACAGCAGTTCCACTTCTAGGTATATTCACAAAAAATCGAAAGCAGGGACTCAAATAGATATTTGTACACCCATATTCATGGCAGTATTATTCATGATAGCCAAAAGGTATAAGTAACTCAAATATCCATCAAAAGATGAAAAATAAACAAAATGTACCCTCAAAATGTACCCTCAAAAATGGGGTATGTACATACAATGGAATATTATTCAGCCTTAAAAAGGGAGGAAATTCTGACACATGCTACAAAATGGATGAACCTCGACATTATGTTAACTGAAATAAGCCAGACACAAAAGGACAAATATTGTATTATTCCATGGATAAAAGGCACCTAGAATAGTCAAATTCATAGACAGAGTAGAATGGTAGTTGCCAGGGGTTGGGGGGAGGAGAGAATGGGAAGTTACTGTTTAACGAGTATAGAGTTTCCATTTTACAAGATGAAAAGAGTTCTGGAGATGGAGGGTGGTGATGGTTGCACAATAAATGTGAATGTGCTTTTTTTTTTTTTTTGGAGACAGAGTCTCACTTTGTTGCCCAGGCTAGAGTGAGTGAGTGCCATGGCGTCAGCCTAGCTCACAGCAACCTCAAACTCCTGGGCTCAAGCAATCCTACTGCCTCAGCCTCCCGAGTAGCTGGGACTTCAGGCATGCACCACCATGCCCAGATAATTTTTCTATATATATCAGTTGGCCAATTAATTTCTTTCTATTTATAGTAGAGATGGGGTCTCGCTCTTGCTCAGGCTGGTTTTGAACTTCTGACCTTGAGCAATCCTCCCGCTTCGGCCTTCCAGAGAGCTAGGATTACAGACGTGAGCCACCGAGCCCGGCCGTGAATGTGCTCTAATACCACTGAACTGTGCACTTAAAAATGGTTGAAATGGGGCTGGGCATGGTGGCACATGCCTGTAGTCCCAGCTACTCAGGAGGCTGAGGCAGGAGGATTGCTTGAGCCCAGGAGTTTGAGGTTGCTGTGAGCCAGGCTGATGCCACGGCACTCACTCTAGCCTGGGCAACAAAGTGAGACTCTGTCTCAAAAAAAAAAAAAA